CAGCAAGGGCTCTCGTAGCGATGCAAACGTCGTGTTCCGAAGATCGACGAAACCACGCTGACCATGAGGAACTCCCTGCCACTCGCGCTGATCTCCAGGAGCACGATCCTCAATCTCATTGATCGTCGATCTCCTCAAGATGTTCGGTTCAACCAAAATCGGGGTACCATTGTGAATCTACGAATATCCAAACTGATCCTTACCAATCACTCGAGCTGGTCCTTGCCACTTCCGATGTAGGTCGCGTTTGCCTTCAGCTGTGCGCCAATAGTGAACCCGTTCACCTCGCTCGAATGGTCCAGGCTGAGGTCGGGTCTTTGATGGTACAGCTCGTCGTACAGCTAAACTGTTGGCTGACTGGTGGAAGGCAATCTCACAAGCTTCTTGTAATCGCAGTCGATGCCACATGAGCGATCCTTGAGTAACTTGTCCAGCAACGACGGGATCGATATTGATGTCCCCGAGATGCCAGTAGTGACGGGTTCTCGCCAAGTACCCACTGCGCTAGGCTGAATCCCTTGTCGTTGGCGAGTCGTCGTTTCATAGTCTGAGCAATTTGGCATCCGGCAGCTCGGGCACACTCGTCACCTCTGATTTCCAGCTCGCGAAATATTTTAGTGGCCATCTCCTTGGAGAAGCGGATCTTTTGTTCTAACTTCTCATGTTGGTGATGTTCTTCATGAGCAACTGGAATACATGGCACTCCAAGATCCGGACACAGAGTCTCAAGTTCTAAGCGAAAAGCTGCGTTCTGATCAATCTGCATCCTCTCCGGGGTGAGCAGATTGCGTTGCCAGCCCTCCGTGAAAGCGATCTTCGCGTGTACTGACGTTGGACGTGGCTTCCGATCTCCACTGCTGATCCTCCATTGAAGTGCTGTACAGTCGGTAGCAAGGTCAAGCATAATCAAGAAAGCATGCATATTCCCACCCAAGTTTGGTACAGATGCAATGTCCATGCCCAGACACTGATTGAATCGTATCCACTTCGGTAGGCTTGCAATAGGATGTGCTGGTGGTCGCTGTTGAGAATCACATAGCTCACATGTGAAAATCTTGGCCACATAATCTTTCATACTGTCACTTCTTTCCAACTGCTTATCTACTGCGTGTCTAGATGCACAGATACGGGCAAAACACACCCATCTTCATACAAGAGGGGGACCAGAGGGGTTCCGAGGCGCCCCGGGCCCGCCCCAGAACAGATCACGACAGGCTAAGGAAGTCCCGAGAGGGACTAAGACGGTCCCAAGAGGCCCCGAAGACGCCCAAGCTGCCCTCAAGACGGCCGACGAGGACTTCAACACGCTCCAGGACGGATTGGAAAGGCTCCGCAAGAGGGCCATGGGAGGCAAAATCCACTACTCATTTTTCTAGGGTTTTTGAACTATTGTGGCGTTCTCGCTTTTCCCGTTTTCCAGCGCTCCCTCACGGCTTCGGGGGGCCCTTCAGATCGCTCCAAGACGTCCCACGAGGCCCCGGAGAGGGCCCCCAGACTGCCCAGAAGGCTTCCCAGAACCCAAGTGGGCCCCAAGAGCGCCCCAAGAGGGGTCCCAGAGGGGTTCCGAGGCGGCTTGGGCCCGCCCCGAAGCAGGCCACGACAGGCTAAGGGGGTCCCGAGAGGGCCTAAGACGGTCCCAAGAGGCCCCGAAGACGCCCAAGCTGCCCTCAAGACGGCCGACGAGGACTTCAACACGCCTCAGGACGGACTCAAGAGGCTCCGCAAGAGGGACCTGGGAGGTAAAACTCACCACTGCTCATTTTCCGATGGTTCTTGAAGGATTTTGGTTTTCTAGCTTTTCCCGCTTCCCAGTGCTCTCCCACGGCCTCGGAGGCCCTTCAGATCGCTCCAAGACAGCCCACGAGGCCCCGAAGAGAGCCCCAAGACGGCCCAGGAGGCTCCCGAGACAACCCAAGCATGCCCCAAGAGCGCCCCAAGAGGGGGTCCAGAGGGGGACGGCCAATCGATATTTCGAGATCTCTGGCCCTAGAGGCCCCCAGTAGACCCCGGGAGGCCACCAAGAGGCTCCCAAAAAGCCTCGTCAGGCGCAAAAGAGGCCCCCAGGAAGCCCCACGAGATTCCAAGGGGCTCCCAGGGAACGCCCAAGAGGCCCCCTAACACACCCCAAGAAATCATGTCCCTAGAGAGCCTTCCCAGGACATGGTTCATCATCGGCCCGAGAGTTCCCAGAGGCGCCCAAGGAGCCCCCAGGGAACGCCCAAGAGGCCCCCCCAACACATCCCATCAAATCACTTCCTAGAAAGCCTTCCGGGGACATGGTTCATCATGGGCCCGAGAGTCTCCGGAGGCTCCGAAGTACCATCACGCTACCGGAGAGCTGTCTGAGAAGTTGACTGGGAACATGACTGATCGCTTTCTCGCGGCCCCCGCAGATCGTTTCGCACAAAGTTGCCTCACGTACCTCTTCAACCGACGACGACGAAGACGACAAACGACGAAGACGAGGACGAGGACGACGACGACGACGACGACGACGGCGCGCCCCAAGAGACGACGACGACATTACGACGACGACGGCGCTCACCAACAGGCTCCCCAAGACGCCCTTCAAATCCATTTTCCCAGAAGGCCTTCTGGGAACAAGATTCATCCGGCCTCCGCCCCCCTACGCAACCATCTTACCCGAAAGCCTTCTGGAATGCGGAATTACATGCGTGGACTGTGGTCAACTACTTCAGTGGAGCAGTGAGCTCGTCAAGGCCTGGGGCCTGCTAGTACCTGAGCGCGCGCGAAGCGCGCGATGTTTCTAGTATACATCTATACATATATGTGTATGCGCGTATATGAATATTCAGATGTATGTGTAAACGGATCTGCAAATGCATAGGTGCCTTTCCAAGTATACGTATGTATATATGTATGTGTATGTGTATATATGTACGCCGATATCTGTACATGTGTGTACGTGTGCATGTGTACATGTATGAACGTGAGTATATGTATATGTCTATGTATATGTATATGTATATGTCTATGTGTAAGTGCATATATGCTTGTGTGCATGTGGTATATGCATGTGCGCAGACTGATGTAACGTACATGCATACATCTACATGTGTGTGCACGTATGTGTTTATGTTTATGCATACGTGAATATATATATATATATATATATGTATTACTATATATATAGTTGCGTGTGAATCGGTATTCGAATACATGTTTGCATATGTACATGTGAAGTTGTATAGGTATGCGTATGTATGTGTATATGGCTATTCATGTGTAGATGGACAAGGCATGCCTATGTGGATGTGCATACATTCACATGGATTCGTCGTATGTGTACTCCTATGTGCATGCGTATGTGTGTAGATGTAGGTGCATATGCTTCTGCACAGGGGTAATGTATACAATTGTATGCATAGGTGTATGTCTTTGTATGTGCATCTTCATATGCACATGTGTGTATGTTTATATGTCTGTGTATGTGTATATGTATAGTTATGTACATATGCGTGTGCCAATGAGTCGCGTATGTCTATTTATGTGATTTTGTACATGAACAGGTACATGCTCATGCATCTGAATTTATATGTGTGCATGTTTGGTATGAGTGTCGTGTGTGCATGTTCAGTCGCATAGGTAGATGTGTGTGCCTAGCTGTATGTATGTGTACATGTATGGGCATACGTATACGCACGTTCCTGTGTATGTGCATACGAATACGTACGGCTATAAGCATACGTATGTGTATATGGCAACGAGATGTGTATATACACTACATGTATATATATATATATATATATATATATATATATATATATATAGGTGTAGCTGTGTGTCGTTGTTTGTAGGCATGTGTATATGTATATGTTCATCTAGCTGTTTTCATACCTGTAGACGTATGTATATGTGAAGGCACATGTATATGTATATGCATGTGTATGTGTATGTGTATATGTACATGTCTATGCATGTGTGAGTCTGCATACGCATATGCATATGTGCGTAACTATGCAGATGTCCGTGTATATGCGTATATGGGCATACGTGTTTGTGTCTCCACACGTATACGGATGCCATGTGTACATGTATGTGTATGTGCATCTGTACATACATATTCATATTATTTCGACATGCGCATGTGTATACTTATCTGCATGCGATGTTACATGTATATGTATGTGTATTTGCATACCTATAGATCAATGCATGCATCTGTATACATAGATCTGTATACGCACATGCAGATGTGTATATGTATGTGCATATATATATATATATATATATATATATGTGTGTGTTAATATATATCCATATGCTGGTACCTGCTGATATGTAAATATATACATATATACATTTATGTTTCTGTAACTGTATATGTACTTGTTTACGTATGCGTACACGGTGCAGGTATACGTCTGCATATACAAGTACATGCATACGTATTTACATATGTATGCATGTCTGTATGTGCATACATATATCGATATACACGCGTGGGTTGTCGGGTCAAGGACCTATCATATCACCCCATATTCGTGGGTCAGAGCAGCCGGAGAGGCTCGGTCGTCCCCAGTCGCCCTCGAATGGTTTTCGTGGTGGAAGCGCTGCTGACTGAGCGTCGACAGGAGAGACCTGTTTCGCAATTCGTTCCTCTGGCCTGGTCTTTGACGTATCCTCACTCCACGCAGTCTGCCACATCATTCTCTTATAAGCGGGCGCAAAAGGACATACTAGAGCTGAGGTCAACCATGACTTCTCTCATCTTTACCAGTCACAGTGCACCGCCGTCCTGTCCACCTCATCCCCCCGCGTCCCCTCATAGTGCGTGTTTCCACCCCTGCCTCTTTTGTCCTCGTTCCGCGGCCCCTTTCGTCCTCCTTCCCCTCGCCCTCTCCAGTCAGGTTTCTGCTTCTCTTCTTCCCTGCTCCTCTGTCCCCCCTGGCCTCCCTCCCTACCGCCCTCCGCCACCCCGCTTCCGCCCCCCTGCCCCTCCCACGCGCACCGCTCTCCGAGCGGCGGGCCCCGTGCAGGCGCACGTCTGGGACCCCGACTACCAGGAGCGCCCACGGCCCGCCCACCTGGGGAGCAGGGGCCGCGGGTGCGCCTCCGGGTGCCCCGGGTCGCGCAGCAGCCCCGGGGGAGTGCACCGCGCGTGGGGCGCGGGACGGTGCGCGGGAGGGTGAAGCCCGCGCGGGGCGCGGGGGCGTCTTCGTGGCGCGTGGGGGGAGGGGGCCGGGTGGGCCGACGGAGCTGTCGGGCGGGGCGGCGCGGTGGGGTGCTCGGTGCAGAGAAGCTGGGGGCGGATCCGGATCCGTATGTAGCAAGGCATCTCCGCCACAACATGTGCTCAGACGCCTTCCAACCGATTGTTCCTGGGCCGCAGGCGAGGGTGGCGGTGTCAACATCACCACTGGGAGCCAGCGTCCTTCTATACTGCCGCCCTCCCTGAAGGTACATGCAAAATTCGTCGGAGGGTGTCTGTGTATGGATTTGCGTGACGCAGGATAGGTCCCCAACGAGTGCTTGCATCGGGTGGCCCTCGGTAGACGCCAAGGAGCTGCCCCTCCCTATCTGGCCAGTGTGCCATCTTTCTTTGAACTCTGTTGGTTCGACGTTGATGCCCGCACCACCGTTCGAGAACTTTGATTGGTTCCTTTAGTTGTGGCCCACGCGCCGGTATCATGGGCATGAATATATTCCCCCACATCTACAGTGGGTCTCTTGTTTTCTCTGGACACTCCGCGCAGGAACAAGAGAACACACCCTCTCCTCTTCCTCGAATCGCACACTCATTCATTCAATCACTCACACGCATCACCACTCACACTCACTCACTCACCCACTCACTCACCCACTCACACTCACACACACACTCACTCGCCCACTCGCACACACACGCACTCATCATCACACACTCACACACACACTCACTCACCCACTCACATACACACACACACACACACTCATCATCATTCACTCACGCACTCACTCACCCATTCACCCACTCACTCATCCATCTACCCGCCTACTCGCTCACTCACTCACATACTCATCATCATCATCATCATCATCATCATCATCATCATCATCATCATCATCGTCGTCATCATCGTCGTCATTATCATCATCAGCTCCATCACCATCCTCACGCACTCACTCATTCACTCACTCCCTCCCTCAAACCCAGATTTGAGGAAGTATCAGGCGGGATCCTCGTTTGCGAATGAATTGCAAGGAAGTCTCAGGCGGGAGCCCCCTCCTTATGGGGCCCGCAGCTGATATGAGTAATCCGAGGCGGGCCATCGGGATCCTGCAACCGTCTTCATTTTTCCCGGAAAGGGCGCAGGCCCAGGGTTCTCTTTTAGCTGTTTACCCCTGGATCTGACAGGAAGAGGGCCGGCGGATTTCTTTTGCGATGAATGACGAGTGGGAAGAGGGCCGGCGAATTAAAAATTCAGGATGTCTCGAGCGAAACGCTTGTTTTTTTCAGAATTTGTTGAGGATGTCCAAAGCGAAACGCTTGTTTTGTGTTATGGATTGTCCTCTCCTGGGGAGTAGAATTTAGAGGATCTCTCAAGTGAAATGCTTGTTTTCACGAGCCCAGATCTTGAGGATGTCTCGAGCGAGACGCTTGGATTCACGCCTCCAGGTTGCCCAGGCAGAGGTCTAGCGCCAGGATTTGTTGAGGATGTCTCGAGCGAGACGCTTGCTTTCACGCGTCCTCGTCGACCAGGCGGATGTCTAGCATGAGGATGTGTTGAGGAAGTCTCGATCGAGATGCTTGTTTGCACGTGTCCAGGTTGCCCGGTCGGATGCCTAGCATGAGGATGTGTTGAGAATGTCTCGAGAGATACGCTTGTTTTCACGTGTCCAGGTCGAGACGCTTGCCTTCACGTGTACAGGTCGCACAGGCGGATGTCTAGAATGAGGAGGTGTTGAAAACGTCTCGAGCGAAACGCTTGTTTTCACGTGCCCAGGTCACCCAGGCGGACGTCTCACATGGAGATGTGTTGAGGATGTCTCGAGCGAATCGCTTGTTTTCACGCGTCCAGTTCGCCCAGGCGGATGTCTAGCATGATAATGTGTTGAGGATGTGTTGAGCAAAACGCTTGTTTTCACGTGTCCAGGTCGCTCAGGCGGATGTCTAGCATGAGGATTTTGACAGGGAGTCTCGACCGAAACGCTTGTCCCCAGCACGTTCCGTAGCGCGCCCCCTTGGCACGTCCCGCGGTGCGACCCCATGGCACATCCCCTGGCACGTCGCTTGGTGCGTCCCTTGAGACGTTCCTCGGCGCGTCCTCCTGGCATGTCCCCCTGTCAATTGGCGCTGGGGCAGCTACTATGTGTTCAGGCAGCTCGAGCTTAAGATCCAGATCAGTTCGGTCAGGACTCGGATGCAAAGGAGGACTCGATCCACGTGGCTATAGAGCACACTCGCGGCATGGCACATCGCAATTCATCACGGCGCAGCACAGCACAGACGTCGGCACGGTACATCAAGATCGATACACTCAGCATTGCGACCTGGCACGTTCCTTGGCACGTTCCGTGGGGCGTCCCTTGGCGAGTCCCCTGGCACGTCGCGTGGCGCGTTCCCGTGGTGGCACGGTAGCGCGTCCCCTTGGCACGTCCCGCGGTGGCGCGTTCCCCTGGCACGTCGTGGCGCACCCTTGGCATCCCGTGGCGCATCTCTTGGCACGTTGCTGCCCGTGGCAGCGCGGTGCGCACTAATGGCACGTCGCCGAGCTTGGGAATCCTGGCAGGTCCCCCTGTCAATTGGCGCTGGGGCAGCTACTATGTGTTCAGGCAGCTCGAGCTTAAGATCCAGATCAGTTCGGTCAGGACTCGGATGCAAAGGAGGACTCGATCCACGTGGCTATAGAGCACACTCGCGGCATGGCACATCGCAATTCATCACGGCGCAGCACAGCACAGACGTCGGCACGGTACATCAAGATCGATACACTCAGCATTGCGACCTGGCACGTTCCTTGGCACGTTCCGTGGGGCGTCCCTTGGCGAGTTCCCCTGGCACGTCGCGTGGCGCGTCCCCTGGCACATCCCGTGGCACATCCGTTGGCACGTTCCGTAGCGCGTCCCCTTGGCACGTCCCGCGGTGCGACCCCATGGCACGTCCCCTGGCACGTCGCCTGGCGCGTCCCTTGGGACGTTTCGCGGCGCGTCATCCTGGCAGGTCCCCCTGTCAATTGGCGCTGGGGCAGCTACTATGTGTTCAGGCAGCTCGAGCTTAAGATCCAGATCAGTTCGGTCAGGACTCGGATGCAAAGGAGGACTCGATCCACGTGGCTATAGAGCACACTCGCAGCATGGCACATCGCAATTCATCACGGCGCAGCACAGCAGAGCCCTCGGCAGGGGACATCAAGATCGATACACTCAGCATTGCATTTGCCCGTCACCCAATCAAGTGTCTTTGAAAACGCTGCCATGCCTTACATTTCTATATTCCTTTCCGGGTTCGTGGGTCGATCATGTTGGGCCCCTGGAGCCTGAAAATGGAAGAAGTATCGGAGCCTCGTTTGTGAGTGAAATGCGAGGAAGTCTCAGGCGGGAGCCCCCTCCCTATGGGGCCCGCAGCTCCTATGAGTAATCCGAGGCGGGCCATCGGGATCCTGCAACTGTCGTCACTTTTGGGCCCCTCAGGCTTAAACATGGAAGAAGTATCAGGCGGGAGCCTCGTCTGTGAGTGAAACGCAACGAAATCTCAGGCGGGAGTCCCATCCTTCTGGGGCCCGCAGTTCCTATGAGTAGTCCGAGGCGGGCCATCGGGATCCTGCAACAGTCGCCATTTTCGGGCCCCTGAGGCTTGAACATGGAGGAAATATTAGGCGGGAACGTCGTTTGTGAGTGAAATGCGAGGAAGTCTCAGGCGGGAGCCCCCTCCTTATGGGGCCCGCTGTTCCTATGAGTAATCCGAGGCGGTCATCGGCCTCTTGCAACTGTCGTCACTTTTGGGCCCCTCAGGCTTGAACATGAAGGAACTATCAGGCGGGAGCCTCGTCTGTGAGTGAATTGCGAGGAGGTCTCAGGCGGGAGCCCCCTCCCTATGGGGCCTGCAGCTCCTGTGAGTAATCCGAGGCGGGCCATCGGGATCCTGCAACTGTCGTCACTTTTGGGCCCTTGAGGCTTGAGTATGAAGGAACTATCAGGCGGGAGCCTCGTCTGTGAGTGAATTGCGAGGAGGTCTCAGGCGGGAGCCCCCTCCCTATGGGGCCCGCAGCTCCTGTGAGTAATCCGAGGCGGGCCATCGGGATCCTGCAACTGTCGTCACTTTTGGGCCCTTGAGGCTTGAGCGGGAGGAGCGAGCGGGACGAGGGCGAGGACGGATGAGGGCAGGGGAACGAGGAGGAGGAGGAGGATGAGGAGGAGGAGGAGGAGGAGGAGGAGGAGGAGGAGGAGGAGGAGGGGGAGGAGGGGGAGAATGAGGAGGCGGAGGAGGAGGAGGGAGAGGAGGAGGAGGAGGGGGAGGAGGAGGAGAGGAGGAGGAGGGAGCAGGAGGAGGAGGAGGAGGAGGAGGAAGTATCAGGCGGGAGCCTCGTCTGTGAGTGCAACGCGAGGAGGTCTCGGGCGAGGAGCCCGTCCTCCGGGTCGTCCTCCGGCGCGCGCTTCCTCTGGGTCGTCACCCGGCGCGTATCCGCTGGGACGCACGTTGCGCGTTTGTTTTGGGTCGTGTTCCGCACGACGAGGAGGAGGAGGAGGAGGAGGAGGAGGAGGAGGAGGAGGAGGAGGAGGAGGAGGAGGAGGAGGAGGAGGAGGAGGAGGAGGAGGAGGAGGAGGAGGAGGAGGAGGAGGAGGAGGAGGAGGAGGAGGAGAGGAGGAGGAGGAGGAGGAGGAGGAGGAGGAGGAGGAGGAGGAGGAGGAGAGGAGGAGGGGGGAGGAGGAGGAGGAGGAGGAGGAGGAGGAGGAGGAGGAGGAGGGGGAGGAGGAGGAGGAGGAGGAGGAGGAGGAGGAGGAGGAGGAGGAGAGGAAGGGGGCGGAGGAGATGGAGGAGGAGGAGGAGGAGGAGGAAGAAGAGGAAGAGGAAGGAGGGTGCAGGACGAGAAAGAGAAGGAGGAAGAGGATGGGGCAGATGGGAGAAAGGACGAGGAGGAGGACAAGGAGGAGGAGGAGGAGGAGGAGGAGGAGGAGGAGGAGGAGGAGGAGGAGGAGTGCCCTAGGAGGCCCCAGGAGGTCCCCGCAGGTCCAGAAGGCTCCAGGAGGCCCCAAGAGGCCCCAGGAGACACCAGGAGGAGGCAGGAGGCGTAAGGAGGAGGCAGGAGGAGAAGGAGGAGGAGGATGCTAAGGAGGTGGCAGGAGGCGGAGGAGGAAGAGGGGGAGGAGGAGGGGGAGGAAGATGGAGACGAGGAGGAGGCGGAGGAGGGAGAGGTAGAGGAGGAGGAGGAGAAAGAGGAGGAGGAGGAGGATGAAGAAGGAGAAGGGAAGCAGGAGGAGGAGAAGGCAGGAGGCAGGAACAACAAGGGGAATGGAGGGAGGCGGAGGCATACAGAGGAGGAGAAGGAGGAGGAGGAGGAGGAATAATAATAAGAGGAGGAGGAGGAGGAGGAGGAGGAGGAGGAGGAGGCAGGAGTTGAGGCAGGAGGAGCAGCAGGCAGGAGGAGAAGGAGGAGGCAGGAGGAGGTAGGAGAAGGGGGCATGATGAGATCCCCAGGCAAGCTAAACATATTCTCATGCGGGGTCCTACCGTCGGAGTAATTTCGAGATCTACCAATCTATTCCAGGGCGGACACGGCGTGGCCAGGCGCGCGTGGACTGACAGGACATTCGGAGCAGTACCCATAGCCAGCTCAACCATTGCTGGCTGACTCTTGCCACGCGTCCTTGGCTACGCGTTGTCAAACTATGGAGGCCTATCACGAATCATGCCGGCCCTTTCCAACCCCACTCGGGGTACCCCTCCTCTTGCGATCGGCTCTGATGGAGGTAGATGCCTGCTTGGCTTGTTCGCTCAAACCACGATGACGCGGTCGTGATGCTACGCGCTCGGTGCCATCGGCTCCAGGGGTTGGGTCGGTGGAGCACTTTGAGCCTCCATCGCTGTATGCTCCTCTCGCTTCGCGGGGTGCACATTCGGATCGCGCAGAGTGTGGGCGCGTGGGGCCTCCTGGAGCTTTCTGGAAGCTTCTCGGGGGCCTCTTGGGGGCCTCTTGGGGGTTTCTTTGGGGGCGTGTCGGGTTATCTTCGGGCGGTCTTGGGCCCGTTCGGTGCCTTCGGAGGCCGTCAATCTTCAAGGGCCTTCAGGGGTCGCTTTGCGGGTCTCTTGGGTCTTGGGGCCCTCTTGGGTCGTCTTGGGGGCCTCTTGGGCCCTCTTGGGGGCGTCCTTGGAGGCCGTCCTGGGGGCCCCACTGTCTGAGGGACGGGCTTCAGGTCCCAGGCCAGATCGGGCCAGGGCAGAAAACGACGCACGCGTCCCCAGAGGCTGCTCTTCATGACCGCGCAGGGCGCCCAAGCGGTGTCGAAGCGGCGCGCATATCTGAAGTCGGACGATCGTTGAGATGCTCAGCAGCGTTGGCCGGCGGACCGGGCGGCATGTCGTGGCGGGGGGGTGAGGCGGGCGGGGCGGGGCCCTGCCCGGGCCACGGGCCCTGCCAGGACCTGTGCGAGCAGCAGGGTGTCGAGCCCCTGGAGGCGACTTTGCGAGTTCTGTTCGACTGGGTGGACCTCGACGCATCTGGAAAGGCCAGCAGCCGCTTGGCCCGGGGCAAGCGGCACACACCCGCGCAGGCATGTGCGGCAGTGCTCTCGCCGAGGCATCGGGAACCTGTAGAAGTGGCTGCGCTTCAGCAGACCCCTTTGACCCATCCGAGCGGCCTATGCAGTTTCACGTCGTGTGCCAATCGTTTCTTCAGCCATGCCTCCCTATGGAAGCGAGAGGTTCCGTGGACGCGAATTCATTTCATGTCTGGCTATTTCGGGGCGCACAGACTTCGTTGAGTTCATTCTCTCCCTCTTGCTTTTCTATGGTTCTCTCCAGAGGTGGGGCTGGTGGGCACGTCGCCTGGCGCGTCACTTGGAACGTTCCGCGGCGCGTCCTCCTAGCGTGTCCCCCTGTCTATTAGCTCTGGGGCAGCTACGATGTGCTCAGGCAGCTCGAGCTTAAGATGCAAATCGGTTCGGTCTGGACTCGTACACAAAGGAGCGCACAATCGCGGCATGACACATCGCAATTCAGCACGGTGCAGCACAGCACAGTATCGGCACGGCATATCAAGATCGATACATTCAGCATTGCATTTGCCCGTCGCCCAATCAGATGTCTTTGAAGCGTTGCCATGCCTTACATTTCTATATTCCTTTCCGGATTCGTGGGTCGATCATGTTGCATGGTGGATGCGTACATGGTGTGGTGTAAGCTATGCGGTGCTGGCTATGCGGTGTAAACGATGCTGTGCGGTACATGTGGTGTATGCATATATATATATATAAATATACGTGTGTAAATGTTTGAATACACTTATACGGACTACAGATCGAAGACACCTGCGGTGAATCACCGCCGCCCCCTGCCTTTTGGAATCGCCCATGTGGCCGAGCCTTGTGGCAAGATCTCTACCAAGGTATCGGACCATGTGTTCCCTCAGCCGTTGTGGAGACCCTTCGGGAAACACTTGGGGGAGGATGGCGGGGACGATCAGGAGGAGGAGGAGGAGGAGGAGGAGGAGGAGGAGGAGGAGGAGGAGGACGAGGCATCTTGGGAGCCTCTGGGGGCACTGTTGGGGCCTCCTGGGTGCTTCCTGAGAGCCTCTTGGAGAAATCTTTGGGGCCTCCTTGGGCCTCTTGTGGCCTTAGGGGCTTCTCGGGGGCCTCCTTGCCCGTCTTCGGGCGTTCCTGGCCCGTCTGACGCTGTCTGACACCGTCTTGGGGGCATTTGGGGGCTTGCTTGGGGCCCTCTTGGGGTGCTCCAGGGCCGTCTTGGAGGCCTCTTGGGGCCGTTCTTGGAGCCGTCTTGGGGCCGTCTTGGGCCGTCTTGGGACCGTCTTAGGGGGTTGTTGGGCCGTTCTGAGGCCATCTTGGAGGCCTCTTGGGCGATTTGGGGGCGATCTCGGGGGCCTGTGAGGCTGGGGGCTCTCTTGGGGTGCTCCAGGGCCGTCTTGAAGGCCTCTTGGGGCCGTCTTGGGGCCGTGTTGGGCCGACTTGGGACCGTCGTATGGGGCTGTTGGGCCGTCCTGAGGCCATCTTGGAGCCCTCTTGGGCGATTTGGGGGCGATCTCGGGGGCCTCTGAGGCCGTCTTGGACCGTCCGAAGGAAGGCCGAAAAGAAGCAAATGCCAAAATCCTTCAAAAACCAACGGGGAATCGATGGCCTTGGCCTCTTCGGGCCTTCCGGATGGACCTCTTGGAGGCATCTTGGATGCTCGTGGGCCCTCGTGGGGGCCATCTTGGACCATCTTGGGCGAGCTTGAAGGGCATCTTGGCGGTCTGGTGAGCCATATTGGCCTGGAGCGGGAAAACGTTGACAACCACCTCTGGGCAAGCTTTCCGGGTGGCCGGCGCGCTGGGCCGAAGCCCCAGGGGGAGTTCTTTTGGAGAAGAGCCAACACCAAAAACGATCGGGTCTAGCACGCCAGGCACCACTGTGGCAAGCCAACAGGGGGCGGCGGATCGAAGACGCCTACGGCGAATCACCATCGCCCCCCGTCTTTTGGAATCGCCCATGTGGCCGAGCGTTGTGACAAGAGCTCTACCACGGTATCGGACCATGTGTCCCCCCAGCCGTTATGGAAGCCCTTCGGGGAACACTTTGGGGAGGATGGCGGGGATGATCAGGAGGATGATGATGAGGAGGAGGAGGCGGAGAATGAGGAGGAGGAGGAGGAGGAGAATGAGGAGGAGGAGGAGGAGGAGGAGGAGGAGGAGAAGGAGGAGGAGGACGCGGAGAATGAGGAGGATGAGGAGGAGAATGAGGAGGAGGAGGAGGAGGAGGAGGAGGAGGAGGAGGAGGAGGAGGAGGAGGAGGAAGAGGATAGGGGCGTCTTGGGAGCCTCTGGGGGCACTGTTGGGGCCTCCTGGGTGCTTCCTGGGAGGCATCTTGGGGGCTGTTTGGGCCTCTTGGGGGCCTTGGGGCTTCTCGGGGGCCTCTTTGCCCGTCTTCGGACGTTCCTGGCCCACCTGACGCCGTCGGAAGCCGTCTTGGGGGCCTCTCTTGTCCTACTTGGGGTCCTCTTGGGGTGCTCCAGGGCCGTCTTGGTGGCTGTTTTGGGCGTCTTGAATGCAAACAGGCGCTGTTCTTGGAGCCCTTTTGGGGCCGTCTTTGGCGCCTCTTGGGCCGTTCTGGGGCCATCTTGGAGGCCTCTTGGGCGATCTTTGGGGGCTCTTTGGCCGTCTCGGACCGTCGGGCCGAAACGAAACAAATTTCAAAATCCGACAAACACCTTAGGAAAATCAATGGCTTTGACCTCTGCGGGTCTTCCTGAAGGCCCTCTTAGGGGCCTCTTGGGCCGTCTTGGAGGCCTCTTGGGGGCCTCTTGGGCCATGTTGGGATCTCTTGGGGCCATCTTGGCCGTCTTGGAGTCATCTTGGAGGCCATCTTCGGCCATCTTGGCCGTCGGGGGGGCATCTTGGAATCCGTTTGGGGCCAGCTTGGGCGAGAGAGGAATTGCAATGCATGTTTTTCGGGTGGCAGGAGCGCTGGGCCGAAGCCCCCGAGGGCTTCAAGAGAACGAGGACCCTCCTGAGATCTGGCACGCCAGGCACCCCTGTGGCAAGCCAACACGGGGCGGCGGATCGAAGACGCCTGCGGCGAATCACCGCCGCCCCCCGCATTTTGGAAGCGCCCGTGTGGCCGAAACTTGGGCTGCAGCTCTGCCAAGCTATCGAACCATGTGTTCCCCCAGCCGTCGTTCCCCCCGCCGTCGTTGAAACCCTTCGGGGAACACGTGAGGAAGAGGAGGAGGAGGAGGAGGAGGAAGAGGAGGAGGAAAAGAAGGTTGAGGAGGAGGAGGAGGAGGAGGAGGAGGAGGAGGAGGAGGAGGAGGAGGAGGAGGAGGAGGAGGAGGGGGAGGAGGGGGAGGAGGAGGAGGAGGAGGAGGAGACCTCTTGGGAGCCTCTTGGGGCACTCGGGGTCTCCTGGGAGCTTTCTGGGAGCCGCTTGGAGGCCTCGTGGGGATCTCCTTCGACCTCTTGGGGGCCTTTGGGTGCTTGTTCGGGGCCTGTTTGGCTGTCTTAGGGCGTTCCTGGGCCGTCTGACGCCGTCGGGAGCCGTCTAGTGGCCCTCTTGTGATGCTCCGTCTGGGAGGCCACCTTGGCCGTCATGGAGTCCTCTTGGCCCTTCTTGGGCGCCATCTTGGGCTATCTTGGCCATCTTGGAGGCGATTTGGGCAACCACCAAGGCATCGCCCGGAGCCTTCTGGGTGACTGGCCCGCTGTGCCGAAGCCTCAGGGGGAGTTCTTTTGGAAATTGAGCCGCAACCAAACCGTATAGGTTTCAGCACGCCAGGCACCCGTGTGGCAAGCCAACATGGGGGCGGAGGATGACGGAAAGCGCGCGTAGCGTTGCGATCCGTTCGTCGGGAGAAGTCACAAGGGGGTGTGGGGGGGGAGGCATGGCCCTAATTCTAATAGTTTTCGGCCCAAGACGGCCCAAATCAGTCCCAAGAGCGCCTAAGAGGCCCCCAAGACGGCCCAAGACAGCTCCGAAAGCGCTCGAAATACTTCCAGGACGGCGTCGGAGAGGTCCAAGAGGGCCCGAAGACGGCCCAAGTGCGCTCTAAGAGGGCCCAGTATGACTTCAAGACGGTCCAACAAGCCCCCAAGACGCCCCAAGAGGTTCTCAAAGGGAACCCCCAAGAGGCACACATCGTCTTATTCTCTTTGGAAAACGAGCATATTTAGCATATTCGCTTCTTTGGTCTTCACAGCGTCCAAAACGGCCCCAGGGGCCCCAAGAACGCCCCAAGACGGCCCCAGAGGTCCCCAAGACGGCCCAAGTGGGCGTCAAGACGGCCGAAGAGAGCCCCAAGACGGCCCAATAGAGGCCCCTGAGGGCCCCAAAAAGTTCCCAAGAGAGCCCGAAGAGGGCCCAGAGGGCCACAAGACGGCCCAAGCCCACCAACACGGCTCAAGAGGGTCCCGGCACGGCCCAAAAGGGCCCCAAGACGGCCCAAAAGAGCCCCAAGTGGACCCCAGGACGGCTTGGAGATGTTTTTTTGTTTTTATTTGATTTTCGCAAGGTTGGTTGCTAGATGGTTGTATGTCGCGCCGAAGCCTTAACACCAACAGGGCTACAAGACACTAAGCCAACAACCTCGCGCCCTCAACAAAATAAGCGGGCTTTCCGTCCCCATGTCAAGCAGGTCGAATGGCCTTCGGCCCATCCCGCCACCGTGCCTGGGTTGTGGGTCTGAGGCCTCTTGGATGGTCATTGGGATCTCGTCAAGGCCTCTTGGGGGCTTCCTGGAGGCAGTTTCGAGGCCTCTGGGGGGTTGTTTGGGGGCCTCTTGGGGCCTTTTGGGACATCTTGGGGGCCTCTTGGAGCTTCGTCGGGCCTCTTGGGGGCCTCTTGGGCATCTTAGGCGTATCTTGGGGCGGAAGGTTTAGATTTTCGGTTCGTGTGTTTCTATTGGGCCCCTCCTGGGGCCCTCTTGGGCCGCCTTGGGCGCCTCTTGGGCCGTCATCGGGCCCTCTTGGGCCGTCTTGGGGCCCTCTTGGGGCCCTCTTGGGGGCCTCTGGGGCCTTCGTGAGCCTTGTTGGAGCGTCAGAAGCTCGGAGAGGCGAGAATTCTCCAAACAGTCAAACCTTTCGGGGACCTATGATTTGGGCCTCTCAGGGCCCCGTTGGGAAGGCCCTCGGGGCTCTCTTGGAGCGTCTCGAGTGGGCCGTCATGGGCGAAACGTGGCGCACCCCTGGGACACCTAGGGAGGGCAACGGGCGGCAACGGGGCGGCAACGGGGCCGAGCGAGGCGAATCCTCGGGGCACCCATCCGCCTCCTGAAGAGGCGCAGGCGGGAATCCCGAAGTGCCAGCACCGCGTGGGGAGTCGGCTCAGCATCCCCAGAGGTCCTCTCGGAGCCCTCCTGGGGCGTCTCGAGGGCCTCCTTTGCGTCCGGAGGCACCTTGGGCCGTCTTGGAGCCACATTGAGCCGTCTTGGCTGCGTCTTGGGCCTTCTCGGGGCCTCTTGGGACCGTCTTGGAGGCCATCTTGCGCCAAACTGGCCGTCTTGGAGGTCATCTTGGGCGTCCTGGAGGCGGATCAGCAACCCCTCTTGTAAGCAGCAGGGGGCGGCGGATCTTCGGTCCACCATGCCGCCGTGCTTGGGGCGTGGACCGAGAGGCTGGGGTCTCTTCGAGAGCGTCCCATCTGTCGTTTTGGACCTTGTAGAAGCCTTCTGGAGGCCTCTCGAGGCCGCCTGGAGGTCTGTTCGGAGCTTGTGGGGGTTCCTCGGGAAGGTGCGTCTGCGGGGCATGCTGGTGGTCTCGGTGGGCAGGGGGGAAAATGGTCCTGGAGTTCCGTCGAGTTCCCCCTTTCGGGCTCTGCTTGGTACCCTCTTGACGGGCATCACAGGACCGTTCACATCGCAGTCAGGAATCTGTGTATGTTGGAGGACATCTCAGGCACCTTGTAGTGCTGTTCTCGTACGTTGATGCCGCTCGCGTATGCCCCTGTGACATGGGAAGGGGATCTCACAGACCCTTCGTCAGGAGGAAGGCTGGGGCAGTAGGAAGAAAGATGGAGGGTGACACAGCGGACGGAAGCAGCATTGGGAAGAGGCAGCCGAGGTGAGGGTCCGGAAGCCCTTCCGCCATCGCGAGGTGTCCAGAGAGGAGCTTGGGAGCGCGATGCCCTTCCTCTCCAAGTATTTCGGCGATGACCCTCTGGGGAAGAAGTGCGACTGCGACTGCTGCGGTATTGCATCGTGCTGGTTCTGTCAAGTAGCCACTGCACGTTTACTTGTCCTATACAGTGTGCTGGTGAACGTGCGTGAAGTGGGTTAGGGGTGCGATCGAGCACGTGTTTACAGCCAAGGCGCATCAATAGGAAACAGCTCTAGTTTGGAAGGGACCCGCTGTTCCTCTCTGGCTCTTCTCGTGCGCCCATGCGCTAATGGGGCCAAACTGGGGCCCCGTCCGTTGTTCAGCGCTTCTCATGGTAGTAGCTTAGCTGTACTGTGTACGTTTCCAATGTGCAAGTGCAATTTCTGACATCGTCACGTGGGCCCGAAACGGTCAGATAGGAGCGAGCCCTGTGCGTGCCTCACTGTGAGAGGAACCGTATATGTTGAGCCCTATTAGTGGAGCTCTGTTTGCGTGGAGCCCCATGCTTGTGTGTGTGTGTGTGTGTGCGCGTGTGTGTGTGTGTGTGTGTGTGTGTGTGTGTGTGTGTGAAGCCATATCTGTGTGGAGCCCTCTTTGTGGACCCCCCCCCCGTTGGAACATATGCACATGCAGCCATCTGTGCGCCACGCCCTTGCGTGGAGCCCTGTGTACAGAACCGTATGTGTGGAACCGCATGTGTGTAACCCGACGTTTGGAATCCTATGTGTGCGGAGCCCTGTGTTTGGAGCCTAATGTAAGATGGGCTGGTATACATTCTCGCCGTGCGTGCGCTGTGGCTCCCGGATGCTGGCCCGCGCCAGTTATTACCATGGATATGCGACATTACCATGGATATGCTGGCCCGCGCCAGTTAGGCAGATGTGTGTTGCGGCATTACCATGGATATGTCCAGCCTGACGTTTCCAATTGTTGACGCTTCGCGAATCCCCACCAGCCCATCCAGAAACGATGCCCAGAGGAATTGCCTCGATCAGGGAAGTGGGCAGCACACAGAGGAAGCCATTCTGAGACATCTTGGGATATCTTGAGCCATCTTGGAGTTCAGTTTGGGCTCTCCCAGGCGCTCTTGGAGTCATCTGAATCAGTGCCCCCCCCCCAAGAGGCCAACATGTGGCTAAAACCTTCGTGAAACAATGATTCGGCATTCTCGCCGAGGCCTCTTGGAGTATCTTGGGTGCCTCTGCGGGGTCTCTTGGGGCCTCTGGGGGTCTCTTGGGGGCCTCCTGGGGGCCTCTTGGGGGCCTCTTGGGGCCATCTTTGGGCCATCTTGGGGCACCCTTGGGAGCCTTGGGGGCCATCTTTGGGCCATCTTGGGTGAGATCGATCACAGGAGGGGGGGTTACGGATTACAGTCGCCCCCCCAGGAGGCCAAAATGGGGCCAAAACCATAGTACAATGAATGATTTTGGACGCCCTGACACCTCGCGAACCCCCCCGTCCCGTCCAGGTCCAGGGGAGGGGGTAGGGGGGAGGGGTAAACCCCTCCCCGAAGGAGAAGAAGGAGGGGTGGAAGAGGAGACGCTCTAGACCACCTACGCCCAGAGGGCTGGTGGGATCTTTTCGCAGCTGAGCGGCCAGGTCCAGGGCCGCTGCTGGCCTCGTGGTACTCTGCTCCCGCTCGATCTCCAGAGAAGCGCCCCACACTGCGACGCAAGTAAAGTCCCCTGCAGTTTCAGACAGGGCATCGCACGGGGCAGACATGCAGCAGGTTGCCGCGCTCGCCCGTTCGGCATCTGGCCCATGGCTGGTTGATTGCCTGTGACCGCCGTAGCCGTTCTCATCCCGACCTTGGTTACGTTGTTGGCGACCGTCGAGGTCAGCATAATGATGATTAGCATGATGATGATTAGCATCACGATCATGATTAGCATACTGATGATTAGCATAAGGATCACGACCGTCGAGGTTAGCATAATGATGATTCGCATAATATGTGTCGGTCACGATTAGCGTAATGATGATTAGCGCCGCCCTTCTGGTGTGACCGTGGTGGCCACCATCATGACAGGGCTGGACCTGTAAACGCTGTTCGGCTGGACTTCGGCCGTGTTCCGTCTTTCGTTGTGGGAGGGAGGTGCTGGAAAACAGGTGGAGCAACACGCATTACAGAACGAACACAAAACGAAAAGCAACGTTTAGGTCCAGCCCTGCATCATGATGACGGAGCATGAGCATCATCATGAGAATGACCCCCTTCCTCCTTAGACTAGTCTCCCAAGAGCTCTCAACGACGTGAGAATCTCTGAACCAAGAGCTCTCAACGACGTGAGAATCTCTGAACGTCAAGGCTCCCAGTACGAACGGTGACGTGGAACGCTTTTCTCGCCAAGGCTCCCAGTACGAACGATGACGTAAAGAAGTCGTGCAAAGCTATGAACGCCAAGGCTCTCAAGAGCGAGCGGTGTCATGAACCATCTCGGGCGAGTTCCTGAGAGCGCTTTTACCTCTCCCGTGCCAGTCCAGGTGACGGAAAAAGCGCTGGCGGGAGAAGCTCTGTACATGGTTTTGGCCCCAATGGGGGAGGTCGGGGGGGGCGTGGCCGGCCGCGATTTCTAACACGCCCACGAGGGGTCATGTTTGCGGCTTCTGCAGCCCAGGAGGCCTCAAGACGGCCCAAACAGCCTCCAAGACGGCCAAGTATGCCCCCAAGACGGCCTCAGAAAGACCCGAGAGGACCCGAAGACGGTCCAAGAGCGCTCCCAGAGGTCTTCTGATGGCCGGGTCACGGCCCAAGAGGTTCCCAAGATGCCCCAAGAGGCCCCAAGAGGCCCCCAAGGGGAATCCCAGAAGGCCCGACGGTTTCTCCTAATGGTGAAATAAGCGTTTTAATGGTGAAATAGAAATCTTAATGGTGAAATAGAATTTCTTAATGGTGACATAGAATACCTTAATGGTGAAATAGAATACCTTAATAGTGAAATAAAATACCTTAATGGTGAAATAACTCCCCGCTCCAGCGGCGCACGCAAACACCACGCAAAAACACCACGCAAAGACGCGCCGCTCCAGCGGCGCACGCAAACACCACGCCAAAACACCACGTAAACCGCGACCCGCCCCACGGCGCTCCGGCGCCGCTCCAGCGGCGCACGCAAACACCACGCAAAAACACCACGTAAACCGCGACCCGCCCCACGGCGCTCTGGCGCCGCTCCAGCGGCGCACGCAAACACCACGCAAAAACACCACGTAAACCGCGACCCGCCCCACGGCGTTCCGGCGCCGCTCCAGCGGTGCACGCAAACACAACGCAAAAACACCACGCAAAAACACCACGCAAAAACACCACGTAAACCGCGACCTGCCCCACTGCGCTCCTGGGGTGCTGCAGCGGCGCTGCAGCGGGCTGCAGCGGCGCTCCAGCTGCGCTCCTGCGCCGCTCCAGCGGCGCACGCAAACACCACGCAAAAACACCACGCAAAAACACAACGTAAACCGCGACCCGCCCCACTGCGCCCCTGCGCCGCTCCAGCGGCGCACGCAAACACCACGCAAAAACACCACGCAAAAACACCACGTAAACCGCGACCTGCCCCACTGCGCCCCCGCGCCGCTCCAGCGGCGCACGCGAACACAACGCAAAAAAAACACAACGTAAACCGCGGCCTGCCCCACGGCGCCCCTGCGCCGCTCCAGTGGCGCACGCAAACACCACGCAAAAACACCACGCGGAAACAAAAAAACACCACGCAAACCGCGACCTGCCCGACGGCGCTCCGGCGCCGCTCCAGCGGCGCACGCAAACACCACGCAAAGACACCACGTAAACCGCGACCTGCCCCACGGCGCCCCTGCGCCGCTCCAGCGGCGCACGCAAACACCACGCAACACACACTCTTGCCGAGGAGGTCGGTTACGCCGGCTCCCGTCCTCGGGGCGTCTTGACCAAGGCGCGCCAGAAAGGGCATCGCCTTCGAGGAATCGGAGGATGGTCTTCCCGCCCTCGGCGGAAAGCCGCGGAAGGCCCGCGGAAGGCGGCGGGAGTAAAATAATGATGGCTTCGTCGACGGGGGCGGGTGGAAGAAAAGGCTGACCCCCCCCCCCCTCCCCACACAAAAAACAAGGTCAACGCCAGGTCACGGGTGGCCCGTGTCAGCCAGCGCGCGCTGCACGGCAAGGTGGAGCGCGATGCCCGGTCAGGTTGAGGTGGCCAGGGAAGCGCAGGAGCAAAGAAGGGGTGCAGCCGCTATCTTTGAAAGGAGAAGGAGGAGGAGGAGGAGGAGGAGGAGGAGGAGGAGGAGGAGGAGGAGGAGGAGGAGGAGGAGGAGAAGGAGGAAGAGGAAATGTGTGAGGAGGAGGACATGGAGGACGACGTATAAAACACCACGTAAACCGCGACCTGCCCCACTGCGCTCCAGGGGCGTTGCAGCGGCACTGCAGCGGCGCTCCAGCTGCGCCACTGGGCGCCCTGGCGCCGCTCCACGCATAGCAAAAAAACACGCCGCGTGAACCGCGACCTGCCCCACTGCGTCCCCGCGCCGCCACAGCGGTGCACAAAAACACCACGCAAATACACCGCGCAAAAACACCACGCAAAAACACCACGCAGAAAAACACGCCGCGTGAACCGCGACCTGCCCCACTGCGTCCCCGCGCCGCCCCAGCGGCGCACAAATACACTACGCAAATACACCACGCAAAAACACCACGCAAAAACACACCACGTGAACCGCGACCTGTCCCACGGCGCTCCGGCGCCGCCACAGCGGTGCAAAAAAACACCACGCAAAAACACCACGCAAAAGCACCACGTGAACCGCGACCTTCCCCACTGCGTCCCCGCGCCGCCCCAGCGGCGCACAAAAACACCACGCAAATACACCGCGCAAAAACACCACGCAGAACAAAAAAACACGCCGCGTGAACCGCGACCTGCCCCACTGCGTCCCCGCGCCGCCCCAGCGGCGCACAAATACACTGCGCAAATACACCACGCAAAAACACCACGCAAAAACACACCACGTGAACCGCGACCTGCCCCACTGCGTCCCCGCGCCGCCCCAGCGGCGCACAAAAACACCACGGAAACACAC